GAGCAAATACTGAGAATTACACCCAGCATTCAGGACAACAGCAGTGCTACAGTGCAGCATCCATACATACAGTATCTGCACATATACTTAGAATTATGCTTAGCTTACAGGACAAGAGAAATAGCACTGTGCAGCATCCATACATACAACATAAAGACATATACTGAGAATTACACCCAGCACACAAGGCAAAAGAAATGGCACTGTGTAGCATCCATCCATACAGAATATGCACAGATACTGAAAACCCAGCTTACAGATAACACAAAACATCACTGTACCACGTTTACACACAAGAACAAATAATTAAATCAAGCATACACAACAGTAGATGCAGAATGTCTGTGAAGGTTCTCATTCATCCAGGTTATGGTATATCTGTAAAAAATAAGTCAAGGCAACTGGACTTGCTGTATTTTTCTTGAAGATGTTTCACTGGACATCTAACCAGATTTCTCAATTCAGAATGACTTGTACAAAAAATTATCTGGGAATAAATATGGTGAATGTCGCTCCAATTCACAAATATGTTAGTCACAACCAGGTGTTGATATAATTTGCATAATTGGAGACTGGGAGGTGTTATTAACCTACCCAGAGAAAGGTGTTAAAACAGCATTGTATGTGTAGCATTGTATGTATAGGTAAATCGCCTATTGTGGTGAACCTGTACATGGAGGAAGTAGAAAGCAAGGCCCTGACCACCTTCAAGGAAATTACACCGAGTCATTGGTTCAGATATGTGGGTGACACTTGGGTTAAGATTCACAAACAAGAGTTATAGGCTTTCACTGACCATATCAACTCAGTGGATCATAACATCAAGTTTACGCAGGAATATATGTAAACCCACAAACTGGCTTTTTTGGATTGTTTAGTAAGAGGGAAGGAGGCTGGAAATAGAGGTCTACTGAAAACCAACACACACGGACCAGTACATGCTATTTTACTCCCACTACCCTTTAGACCAAAAACTGGGAGTCATCAGGACTCTACACCACCGGGCAGAGAAAATTCCCACCAGAACAGAGGCCAAGACGAAGGAATTCAAACACCTCAGGGGGCCCTTAAACTTTGCGGGTATCCAGACTGGGCTTTTGTCAAAACAGAAAGAAGAGGAAAGAATCCCAAGAGCACCAGTGAGAGTGAAACGCATGACAAACTGAAGAATTTGGTCATACCATATGTAGCTGGGGTGTCTGAGAAACTCAGAAGGGTTTTTAAAAAAACATTACATCCCTACCTGCTTTAAATCCAGCAATACACAGAGGCAACAACTGGTTCATCCAAAAGACTCAACGCCAAAACACAAGATGAACAACATTGTGTATGCAATCCAGTGCAGTGAGGAGTGCTCAGAATTGTATGTCGGTGAAACAAAACAGTAGCTACACCAGGGTATGTAGACAGGGAGGAGGACTGGTTCAAAATAGGTGTGAAAGAGGCCATTTATGTAAAAATGCTTGAATAGAGGGGGGTGAGAGATCTATTGTCTGCCACATACAATACTGTTTTAACACCTCTCTCTGGGCAGGTTAATAACACCTCCTAGACTCCAATTATGCAAATACAATCAACACCTGGTTGTGACTAACATATTATGTGGATTGGAGCGACATTCTCCATATTTATTCCCAGATAATTTTTTATACAAGTCATTCTGAATTGAGAAAGCTGGTTGGATGAACAGTGAAATGTCTACAAGAAAAATACAGCAAGTCCAGTTGCCTTGACTTATTTTTTACATATATAGTAGATGCAGAAGTGTGCCATGTGCAAACACTGAGGCTAGAGGAGTTATAGGGGTTAGCAGTGGTGAGAGCGGGGGTAGGGGAATGTGTTGGTATGGGGTGAAGGCTTGCAACTGTAGTTGTGACAAGGGAGGGAAGGATGGGGGTCAATCAGGTAAGGGTAAGTAGGTTCAAGACAAGTTGTCAGTGGTAGCACTAGACACCAGCAATAGTTGGTCAGCAGCCAATCAGCAACAGTGAAAGTCAAATGGGGGAGGGTGTTGACCTGCTGGGGCTGAAGACTGGAAGCCCATATCCTAGGTTGCTTTGTCTTTCAGGTTACAAAGTTACAGGTTACAGCCGCCCCAGAGAGACAGTTCCCGAGTGGTCCTGCCAACGTATTGGAGTCCACACGGACATTCCAAAAGTATGCTCATTGGGTATCTGCATACCCTGGCTGCAAGATTCCCAGCTGACTCTCCACCTTTCACTGGGATAACAAGACTACCGGTCAGGAAATTGGAGTGACGGGTGGGACTTCTTGGCAGGCCTAACAACACTCTCTCCAAATGAGCCCTATTAAAAACTGTTTTTAATATAAAAATAATTATTTATTTTTTAGACATGTTGGTGGAGAATCTGAGATCTTGTGTTGGAGCTATTGCTCTCTATTGTAAATATTAATGGAAGATTAATAAACAAAGTTTCAAATCCTGACAAGTTTAGTTGTGATGTCTATTATAGCAAACATAGTCCATGGCCTTGGTCAGCAGAGCTGGCAGGTACAGTACTGATGCACAGTGGGCAAATTGTCTTAGCATTACTGCCCCCAGCCCAGGTGTGCCTATGATGTCTCATCTTGTTAGCTTGAAGCTTTGCCAGTCATTTGGAACAGGAGAGGCACAAGATAGTTGGACAAGAGGACCAGGGAGTATGAATGCAGCCCCAATGACTATGATGGTTTTGTCCCCCCTAAGTTAGCACTACTGACATTAATTTTGAAAGAGGTCAATCAGCTGTACCTATTCCCACCTAACAATCTTTGTTCCACCAAGATAACAATGCTGCTATTGCTAAGTGCTTTTGTTTAAACATGTGTGCGATATGAGCATATGTGACTGTGCATAGTGAAAGATAATTTAGTGGCTTGCACTGCAACATGACCTTCATTAAATGTCTGTGGCTAGCTTTTTATTGCTGGCTGATACCATCTTTAGAATGGAAGATTTTAACTATTTAGACTTTCATTGTCATTTTAGTTATATTATATTTTTATTTAAACATGCAATTTGCCACTGTGGTAAAGCATTCCTAGTAATTTCTTTTAATGGTTAATACCACAGAGTCTGACATGGCTTAGTTTTAGACATACAATTTTAATTCCTAATTATTTTTAAGTCATGCTCTGAATTTCTTTTGCTATGATATTTTTTTATTAAGTCCCTCCTTTGTCCTTTTCTAATAAATAGGTACCCTAAAGTGGACCTTTAACTATAAAAAATAATAAGATGTTAATTGCTCTTGAATAAGGAAATTAAAAGTTAGGAAAAAAATGTACCAGTGTTTAATATTTTGTTGAAATCTCACAGTTCTATTAACTCTCCGTACTGGCACTTGGCAATTTAATTTCAACTAATTAAAATGCTCATCACATCCTAAACCAGCAGATAAAGGGGGAAGTCCCTAGCTACCCTTGTCAAATCGTCACTGGAGGAATAAAAGTAAAAGAAAAGAAAAATGCATTTTACAGCTAGACTTGTGCATGGCACTGGTCACATGTGTAATACTTCTGAGGCATGGAGGGCTTAAAGGAGAAGTACTCTGAGCCAGTGTGAGACATTGCAAGTGCCATATGTCAGTTCTATAGATCGTGAGCTGAGCAATCACGAGCCGCTGTTCACTCAGCTCATGGTCTCCTCACTGAAGAGGGCAGTACCTGTCAGTTGCCACTCCCCGCAGGCATTCTCCCCTTCCTTGTCTGTTCCTCCAGTGCTCATTGGAGGGACAGACAGGGGTGGGGTTGGGCACATCTGGCTCTTGAGAGGCAAAGTCAGCTGTCAATCAGGCAGTGGGGTGGATCTTTCCTGGCTGCACCTTTGCTCTGTACTGTCAGCAAATACCGAGCAGTAGCCCACTTGATGCTGACTTTGGGTCACAGGAGTACATTAGTAAATGTACTCCTTAGACCCAAAAGTGGACTAAAGCCCCAAAAAAGGTTTGGCTTTAGTTCTCTTTTAAAACAAAGATTTTATAAAGCAAGCAAAATGTAAAACCAGAGGGCACTGACAGATCTCCCAAACAGGATGCCCCCTATGTGACATTATTACATATATTCATTATTTATTTTCCTCCTCATTCTTCTCACAGTGGCCATTTTTACTAAGGGCAGATTAATACAGTGTATCTCCCTTATCTTCTTTGAACTCTGGCACATGTGACTCGGACATGTGACCATGCTCATCATCTCGGGGGAGGAAAATGCCTTTCCCTGATATATTGTGAGATTACAGATGAGATTTCCCAGCAATGGTCTGCTGATGTAACCTTCCCAGGATGCAACACTTGGACACATTACATCACTAATGTCCAAGTGGACCAGAAATAACTGTAAGTAAAAGAAATGTATGTTTGTTTAACTAATGAATGTAAGATGATTTCATATCGGCATGCAGAGATGTATGCTGAAGTGATTTTTAGTGAAAGGGGTAAAGGTCCACTTTAAAACTTTTGTATTGATGTGTATTACATATAAGCCAAAGCAAACAATACAACTCATTATTGGCAGGGCAGATATTACCACATGTCCATAGATGGGTACATCCTTTTGAAATCACATGCTCAAATTACTTTTCTCTGTAGTATCCTTATTCTTTGCACTGAACCATATTTTTTACTGATATGACATTCAAAGTTTTCTAAAAATAAGAATACAGTATAGAACAGTTTAAAATGTTTTCTTCTTTACCTTAAACCAGGGGTAACCAAACTCTGGCCCTCCAGCTGTGGTGGAACTACGAATCCCATGATGCATCTCTCTCCGGGAGTCATGTCTGTGGCTGTGAGGGTCTTGTAATGCCTCATGGGGTTTGTAGTTCCACCACAGCTGGAGGGCCGGAGTTTGGCTACCCCTGCCTTAAACCTTATCTGTTGGTGTTCATGATCCTTACTGGAATTACCATCAGTAAACTTATTTGAATCATCATGTAACACAGTTTTACAAAGAGATGTTCGGAGGAATAGACAAATAAGAAAGGCCAATGGCTTATTTACCTTTATGGGGTAACAAGACTTCTGATTGTCACAAGTAGAGCGACAGTCGACTCCCCACATTGTTGGCCATTTTGTGATACTTTGTGGTGTAAAAGCCATGTCATGGGATATATACTGGCCCCATTCAACGATTATGTGTGAATACAATCCATCATCATGAAAATCTTTGTTTGATGCATTAATTATTTTCTTTGTAACTACTTTAACCTAAAAAAAGTAAAAACAAAACAAAGAAAAAACACAATTATTATACATTCTAATATATAAACTACAACATATTACAGTTACTGTAATGAAGTATTTCAGTGCACAGTTATAAGTTTAACCTCTTCCAGGCTGGCAATTGTAATTAAACAGCCAGCCATGAGCTTCAATGTGAGTGGGCATTTTTAGGGCTTGTTCACACCATAGAAGTTGCTGGAACGCACTGTATCGCAGCTTGGCTGGCTTCCTGAATTTAGGGGCGGGATGGGGCATGGTGGTGCATTGAAGTCAATGGCACCACATCCACACACCACCGCCCACAGTGTGATCACCCAATCCAGAATGCATGGCACATCAGTGTCATTTAAAGTCATATATAAAAAGTCCCTCCCCCCACATACACCCGCACACACAAACATGTGTCGGGTGCGCCTACGTGCGGAAATGACGATTGCGACTATTATGCCACACAGGTAACATACTGTATCACCGTGGACAAGTGTTAGCAATAATTCTAGGGTCATCAATCACATAATCATGTCCAATGTAGTTAATATCTTCTTGTGAAGAAATGCTACATCTTGCCAATTGGTGATATTGGTCACAAGGATCACTACTGTTTTTCCTGTCAGTCATTTTCATATTTCCATAGCAGAACCATGGGCAAAAACAAATGACATGCAATGCAGTCTGTTAGTGTTATTAACACAACAGTTTTGGTTTTTCAGGAGTTCCCCGTGTAACATAATTGTATTATCTGTTGATCCTGCCAGTAGATCTGCCATTTGTTCACTTCCTGTAAAAGGGTGACAACACTGTTTTGCAGTACATTTTCTGCAGCATTGAAAATAAAAAAAATAATAAATTAAAGCCTAACTCTAGCTAATAATTGCTAAGCAGTTACAGCAAAATGTTTTTTTTTCTTTTGGAAAATATATGCTAATCCTCCAGGCAGCCTGTAAGTGATTTGCAGAACCCTCCACAGCATTTATTCCCTCAGGAAATTAATGATTGATGAAGCTGGATGTGAAACAGTGGCCTCTTAGGAGACCTAACAGGTAGAGGTCACTGTAAACACAATAACCGCACAGATTGGCTGAAAGGTAGCAGCGGATCTGAGAGCGAACGTTTGCTCATCTCTAGTTTTAATTAATGATTCCAGTCTTAATGTACAACCTGTGAATGGTGTGAGATTCAAGAACCAGCTTTCCTGATGGTTAGTGAGGGGCAAATTGATCCACCAAGAACTGAATCTGGCTGTTTTGCACAAAGTAAAAATACATTAATACAACTCGCATTACTGCTGATAATTAGTCGCTTTATAAAAAAAATTGTGCTTAAATTTAAAAAAAAATACATAAATAGAGTTCCCCACAAACAATATCAGAACAGCACATCAGGCATACACTCTAGGATATGAAGAACTAATAGGCCATGAGCATGTAGCTCTCCTTTTGTGCTGATATCTGCATAGGGCTGGTGCTTCTCAGAGGGCTTACATTACAACTCTGATGATGATCATAACCGCATCATAATGATGAAAATCATTTTTTATTGTATGGTGTAAAAGAAGCTCTAGGGAAGCCAGTTTGGCTGTTAAAAGGTATTTTTGAACCTCCAGATTTCCTGAGAAGCTGCTGTAATCAGGCCTAAGTCGCCATTCATACCTAGGTCTTTTGTTGTTCAAAGCTAAGCATGACAGATTACAGCACTGTTCGGTCCCTTATACTTCAATAGGAAACTTTGTGCAACAAAACGTGTGACAAAACAAGCAAAACAAAATGCATAAAAATGCTTTAAAAGCAGAAATTTCCCTTTAAAGTCTAAGGGAACAAAAGGTGCTGTAATCTGCCAAAAAGTAGCTCATGTCCTTTTTCCAGCGGCAGGTGTTTTTCTGCTTATGACAAAATGCTCAGGTTAGAACAGGGGCCAAAGAAGTGAATGGGAATCTTTGCCTTGAGTGTTTTGTCTTGACAAAATGCCTAGGTGTGAACGGGAACTAATAGGGGAAGCAACTGCCTTAACAAGACATCTCTTAATTGTTGGGGAAGATGCCATACTACACTAACATGAATAAACAGAGAACGAGAGAGACTCTGTATTAAATGCTTTGTAAGTAAAAATCATATAATTTGTTGAGCTAAACACATGGCCCAACTCTGGTAGAGCAGGGCTTGCATGTGTACTGGACAGACTGAGGTTCTGCTTTGTGTTTTATGTGGGGGGGCTTATGTTTTCTGTGGAGACACTAAGGATCTTGGAGTTGCTACCTATGATCTTTTGATGCTGAAAACACAATAAAGCTGGTTGTATCCAGGTAAAAACTTGAACTGTTGTTTGAAGTTGTCTACCCTAAGAGAAACCTAATATGAGACTGCTATCAATACAATTAGTAATACAAGTTAACAAAATTCCATGAAGAATTACTTATATCATATTATCAAAACACGTTCACAATAGTGTATCATGCTAAAACATAACACAGATGTTTATATGTCACATCTTGAAAGAAGATTCTAAACAATGTGAATAAAACCATTGTGAAAGATTCTTACTGGCGGCAGTAGAAAACTGCTGTAGAGGAAATCTGGATTCCAGCCCTTCGGCTCATTCATCCCATCTTCATATTGTGATGGAAGCCACCGAGTTAGAATTGTATTTGATGCCCCCCAGGTAGGATGTTTTCTTTTAAAATACAAAGTCAACAATTAATTTTTTTGCATTCATGTTTTAAATATACTATCAATTAATTATATCCATACTGAATTTTTACTGATTAAAGAAGAATTCAAATATAAAAATAAGTTCATATTCTTTAGAAAACAGCCACAGTCTAAGGAGAAAAGCCTGTCTTCTGCCAGTATGCTGGCAACCTATGCCAAATGACCTCTGCTTGCACACAGGGAACATGGGTCCTTCTCTGCAGCATGATGACTCTGGGAGGCTAGTCAAGTCTGAAAATGTGTGCATATGTAAAGGGGTTCTTTAAGGAGAATTATGGGGTGAGTTAAAAACACTCATCCCCGTAATTCAAGCCAACCTGAGACACTGAAGCTTTTACAGGTCGGCTCTATTGATCGGGAAGTCAGGGAACACATACCGCTGATCGCTGACTTCCCGAACCTCTCCCTGCAGAGAGCGTTGACTGTCAGTCAACGCTCCCCACAGGAATTCCCACCTCCCCTCTTAATTTCTCCAGTGCTGACTGGAGGAACAGATAGGGGAGGGGGGGGGGGGACGG